ATGGATTTTCTTTTCTGTATCTCTCCCATAAATTAACATACATGTTTCAGAATTCAAGGTATTTTCTTGTTATTAATCAAAAATATGTAATATCTAGTCCACTTTATTGATATCATTTTAAATACTTCAGCCATTTTACTGCGGAATTTCAATTTTTCTGTACCTTATTTTAAAATAGAGAATTCCCAATATTTTGTTAAATGTTCATTTATGATATAAGTAATTAATATACTAATAAGTAATTAATTAACTTGTTAAATGTTCATTTATGATATAAGTAATTAATTAATTGAATTTAATTTATTCAGGACTTATAGTCCAATTCACAGAGGAAGGAAGGTTATTATAGAAAGTTATAATTTGCTGATTCACACGTATTATTTGACAAGTGTGTGAATGTTTACCTTTTTAGGGCCATCATAAAACACCTTGATAAATGAATGCCCTGGTCCAACACAACGCGCTTCTTTAAAAAATTGCCAGCTTTTTTTTGCATAGTCCTCCTTCTTGGAATTTGTAGGCAAATGTGATCTTGTTTAAGGGAGAACAGCAAGTTCACAGTGATGTTTGTAAGAAACCCTGAATAAAAAATACATAGAAGAGAGGCGGGAGCATTCGTAACAAACGCAAAGTGATAGTCAAAACTTTAAGCATGAAATGGAGTTATCCTAGTGGCTCCAATAAGAGAAAGAAGCAGCATGCTTCATAAAAGCTTTTATCTTCACTTCTGAAAGTGACGTTGTTTTTCGATGTAAACATCAAAAGGAAGCAGAAAGGAAAGACAATGGAAAATGTTTAAAGGGAGGAAAACAGACCAAAATGGAAAATAGAAAAAAAAATAACTAAGGTTAAAGCACAGGAGCGCTGACAGAAAAAAGAAAGCAGAGCAAATATTGAAAGCACTCAAAGGGAGGGAAATACAGGAAAAAAAGAGGAGGACTAATAAAAAGGGAAAATAACTCATGTCAGAAGAGGGGAGAGTTTCGCAAATCCAGTTAAAGATAAGATTGTCGAAAATTTAGTGTAAGGAGCCCCATGTCTGTGTTCGCCTTGGGCCCCCAAATTGCTAAATCCGCCCCTGATTATAAGCCTGTATTTAAAATATTATGAATTAAATGTGCGTTATATGGAAGAACATCAGCCATCCCCCCACCCCCTCTGTTTCATTTGGGAGAGATCCAGAGGTGAATTCCCCTGCGTCCCTCCCTATTCTGTTCTTCACACACGGCGCTCGCCTATACCTGAACCCTCTCGGTGAGTAGGAGCGCCGGCAGCTGCAGAGGGCGCCAACGTGCTCGTTCGAATCCAGACTGTCATATCTGACAGATAGAAAACCATGTTTTGGCCATAGACTGTACATACATACATACATACATACATACATACATGGTTTTGGTGCAGGTTTCATTGTTGTTGTTGTTTTTACTCAGCAATTTTGCGCCCCCTTTGTGTCATGAAATAATAATAATAATAACAATAATAATAATAATAATGCATTGAACTTACATAGCGCTTTTTAGGGCACTCAAAGACGCTTTCACACACTCACATTCACACACTGCTAGTGATGGTAAGCTACTTTGTAGCCACAGCCACCCTGGGGCGGTCTGACAGAGGCGAGGCTGCCATTTGGCGCCGTCGGCAAAACAGGCAAGTTGGGTGAAGTGTCTTGCCCAAGGACACAACAGCAGAAAACCCCTGGCGGGAGCTGGAATCGAACCCTCCGATCATGAGGCAACCCACTGTACCTCTGAGCTACTGCTGCCCACAGCACAGAATGCCGCCCCGGGCAGCCGCCCGGTCTGCCCGTGCCTAAAACCGCTACTGCGATGAGCACACACAGACTCGACCAGTCCGACATGATGTTAGCTCACATACAGGAGTAGCAGCTAACGTTATAAATCGCTGCTACTGAACACTTAACACTGTCATAGGCGTCATTTTAACCGGGGACGCCGGGGACATGTACCCGGCAAAATTTGTGATTGGCAGCTGTGTCCCTCCCACTTTCAAAAAAGCCTGCTGATGAGGATTTTTGTTTTACCAGCTCAGATCTTATGGGGTCGGCAACCTGTTCCCATCAAAGAGCCATTATTACCCATTTCCCACGGTAATTTTGGACGGACCTTAATAAGCAGTGACTTAAGTGAAGCAGGCAGGTCGCGCTAGAAAATTTCGTTTAAAAAGACGTCATAAATGTTTCCCCCATCATTTTTATTTATAAAATATGAAGTAAAAACTCCCAATTTAATTTTCATTCATTTGTCATTAATATTTAGTCTACACCCGTGCGTTAAGTGGACCATCTTCCAGTAAAAGCAAAGCATCCAGCCCACCTCTCCAAATACGTAAAATGTGCATCAGCCGCTAGTTAGCCTGATCATCATTTAAATACGTAACCCATCACCTGTCGTCTAGTCCACGCTATCAACATTATTTTAATTGGTCTGTGTGTGTGTTTTCCACTTCAAACACTGGTCTAACCAACCAGACCAGCGTGTCCAGTAACATATTAATGTTACAATTGAACAGTTTCACTTCATGTAGGCTAGGAACATTTCACCTGCCGTGGCCCGACCGCTTCTGCTCCACATAAACTTTGTGCGTGATCAAATGTCTCTACAGGTGCTTTCTGAGCTGAAGAGGCGATTCTGCCTCAGACTGGATGCGTCATGCGTCTCCATATTGGAGACGGGAACAAGCGCTGTTCAGCCAAAGTTTCATAATTTCATAAAAAGAACATTTTTCCAAGTGACACATCCCTCAGAGAGACCGGGTTTCCAGACCGCTTCAGTGGGAGGAAATCTTATCGCATGCACCGACCGTGGTTCTGCGCTGCGCTGCAAACCCCTCTACAGATCTTCAGCCCACTGTCCACCGTGGGCGCTCCGAGCCGCGCTGAACACAGTGTCCAGTATACAGCTCTGATGTTCTGATGGGAATCATTTCTTGATGGATTTAGTTACCTCTGCGATGTGCGTAACGATTAAAGCAGCTCATCTGTGTGTGCATCACTGCGCGTCGGGGTAATTCTTTCAAAACAACCAACATCTTTGAGTTTATCCGTCAAAATAAAAGTCAAATGTAAATATCTGTAACCTGCCATTTAACTGTTTTGCCTTCCTGTGAAGATTGTTGCAAAGAGAAACAATTAAACTTGATTAACCCCAGAGCCACGCGTATAAGCTGTACTTCGTGACTGTAAATGAGGGGGAAACGATTTAATCAGATCCTTTTCTTTTCAACATGGTTTAATGTAGTTTCATTCAGTAGTTGCACCAATCTAACGAGACAGAGCCTGGATTTGTATTCTGAACAGTTTAAACTGGGGAAGGTCAGAAAAGGATCCGATCAATTTGTTTTTCCCTCATTTACAGTGACGGAGATAACGGCGCAGTACGCCTGGCTCTGGTGTTAATCAAGTTTAATTTTATCTCTTTGCAACAATTTTCACAAGAAAACAGAACAGTTAAAAGCAGGGCTTGTGTTGACCGGATAGTTCTCGTATTTGACCGTTAATTTTGACGGAGAAAGAATAGAAAGAATTACCCCGACGCATGCAGACGAACTGACATTTTATTCCACTTAAATCGCAGATGTAGCTAAATCACTCAAGAAAAGATTCCCATCTGAACATCTGAGCTGGACATTGCTCGCTGTCAGCGTGCACTAGCGAGCTGAAGATGTGGAGAGAGGCTTGGAGCGCGTCGCAGAACCAGAGCGCATGCGGGAAGATTCCTCCGACTGAAGCGAGACTTGTCACTTAGAAAATGTTCCCTGATTATGAAACTTTGGCTGAATAGTGCTTGTTCCTGTCTCCAATGTGGCAACACATCCAGGAGCCGTCTGAGGAGAAGCCCAGAATCTCACATCCTCGTCAGCTCAGGAAGCGGCTATGATTACGCACAAGCGTGACGCGTCAACCCGGTCTCACAGTAAGACCGGGTTGGAACTGTTCAGGTTTACGCAGACAATCTTAACATTTAGAATTGACATACAGATGTAAAATTAATGCAGTAAAATATAAAGCTTTTTATTTAAATATCCACTCATTATTTTACAAGCACAGAGAGCCGCATCAGATGGATGGAAGAGCCGCATGCGGCTCCAGAGCCACGGGTTGCCGACCCCTGTGCTAGCCTACTTTATTGTCCCCAGCAATTTTTAAACCCCACTCAAGTGTATGGTTATTGTCCCCAGCAATTCTGAAAACAAACTGACGCCCTTGAACACTGTCATTTCCTACAGGAAGCAACGTGTCTAAAATGCGTTTTGCTCCTTATTTACAAAGCCTGCGCGTGATTAAAAATGGTCAGTTTTAGCCTGGCAAGCCAGACTAAATAAATTTATTACTGTGGTGGTTCCAATGGAGCGTGCCTAGACCAAACTTTGCAAAGAAAGAATTTGGTCTAGTACACTAGGCTAGGTTAGTTTTCCTCTAAGGGCAAAACACCAGCTCACACAGAACTTCCTGGAATGTACCACTTTTACCAAGATAGGGGTGAGTATCAGAATGGCAATAGTGAAATAAATATATACTAAATGGTAAATTGGTTATTTGTATGAATACATTTATCAATATATACGTTTATTAATGTATTGTGTTAGGTAGTGTTTAAACCAATAATTATTTAAAATGTTTAAGGTTTTGTCTGTGTGTGTGTGTGGCTGTTGGTTGATGGAGGCATGCCAAATTAAGAATAACCCAAAATGGCGGTAAAGTTAGGGAAAAATTAATTACAATTTACTGCTTGTGTATTTCTCGCTATCAGAAGAACAGTGATTTTGGAATTCTAGGATCACATTGATTATTCTTTTAGTCTTGATGTTTTGGACGAAATGACATAAAACGATGACTTTTTTATGTTTCGTTCCTTGTAGCTTTACCGGTGCGTGGTCCGGTTAAACTCCAATCCAAGGCCAATCAGCTGTGCCCCCGCTGTGTGTGCCGGTGTATAAACAGAGCAGACCCAGTAGCGTAGTCTTGAGTGGGTGGGAGCACTTCGAGGCGAAGGTTGGACTTTAAGCCAACTTGTTAACAGGAAGAGCGCGCGTACACACCTTCGTGCGATTTACAAGATATCGCAAACATGGCCCAAAACTTGAAAAAGTTTTACAACCTTACAGCTAATCTGCTGACTGGTGAAGCTTTTAATTTCTCCACACTTAAAGGGAAAGTCGTTCTCATTGAGAACGTGGCATCTCTCTGAGGAACAACAATCAGGGATTACACTCAGATGAACGAGCTTCATTCTCGCTATTCCGCAGAGGGACTCGTTATCCTGGGTGTGCCCTGCAATCAGTTTGGGCACCAGGTAAGTTCCAGTAGATATACGGAGAAACAAATAATGCACAGTACTTGTTTTTGTTACTTGTAGAAGGGTTAAGGAAAGTGAATTAGTAGAGTGGTTTAGAATCAAAGGTGCTTCCACATTTAAATTCATGCTACTTTAATGTATTTAAATATTTCGATTTGCACAATAGGAGAATGCCAAAAATGATGAGATCCTGAGATCCCTAAAGTATGTCCGCCCAGGGAATGGCTTTGAACCCAAGTTCCAGCTCCTGGAGAAGGTAGACGTCAACGGAAAAGCTGCTCATCCCTTGTTTGTGTACCTTAAGGAGAAGCTCCCAACCCCCAGCGACAATGCCACGGCCCTCATGACCGATCCAAAGTTCATCATCTGGAGTCCTGTGTGCAGGACCGACATATCCTGGAATTTTGAGAAATTCCTGATCGGAGCTGATGGGGAGCCTTTCAAGCGCTACAGCAGAAACTTCCTCACCATAGATATTGAGGAAGATATTAAGGAGCTACTGAAAAGGAGGATCAAGTAAAATGTGCTACAACATTACTATTGCTGGCAGTGAAAGATATCTGTCGTGACCACACTGGCTTTGTAATGCTTATCTGTAGACCCAGGCGTTTCGGGTATTTCTTCTTGCTTTCCTGCTCACAGTTGAATTAATTGCCACAGTCCAAATATTGTGAAATTTTCAGTGGTATATACTTGGTTTTTCAACCCATTTACTTAATGATGAGGCTCCTGCAAACCTTTTTGTGTAGGGAGACTCTGATAAAGATGTAAATGTCTGTATTTACCCCTGACTGTACTGCAATTGGAATATTAGTTGAAAAAATGAAATAAACATGTTTTATCAAACACTTTTTTAAATTACTTTTATAAAACGCACATATAAATCCTAGATGTTCTTTGGTGTCCGACAAATGTAGGCAACTATATCTTTATCTCATTTCATTTTTACTTTTTGGCATTTAAGTAGAAGCATTTGCATTGAGGGGTTTTCTTTACATGATGCATCAAACCATAAAAACTACAGATTATTGGAAATTACTTCTGGAGAATAAAACATCTCCCATGATTGTTAGATTCAGAAGGTATTTTGAATGTTTCTTATTCTCACATTGACCCCGGCTTTCCACGGGAGCCGTCAGCAGCACGTTACTGCAGCAGCACGTCATAGCTGCTGATAGGAACCGCTGTGGTCAACAGAACCTTTTCCACTGGAGCCGTCGGCAGCCGGCAGCAGCGCGAGTCGGCCGCGTCTCAGGAGCAGCATGTCGCGGCCTTTACGCGCCGGTTCTATTTCCTACGCGCGACGCCTCTGAAACGGGTCAAGTTCGACATTTTTGGGGAAGGAAAGACAGGAAATCGGACGCGGAAATGGAGAGAAGCTCCCGAGATTTTCAGAATAAAGAACGTACTGCCTTCCGGTCGCTTTACTTTAAAAAAGGTTACTAACTGTGCGGCCCCGTGAGAAGTTATCACCTAGCTAGCGGTCTCCTTTGTTTTTCAGGTCCGTATTGGCGATTATAAAACGGACAGAACATAAAAACACAAATATTTTGGAGCCATGTTGTAGTTTTCTCCTGCTTGTTGTTGTGTTTACTGACGAAGTCACTCGTGTGACTTCGTGCTCTGTCGGTGACAGTTGCTCCCCTGCTGATTCGCGTCTCGTGGGAAGGGCCAAGCAGCAGCTTACGCGAGCAAGACGTGCTGCTGCAGTAACGTGCTGCTGACGGCTCCCGTGGAAACCCGGGGTTATACAACGCTGCCACAAGGTGCTACCTTCAGGAGCCAATTGAGGTTCACTAGTCCCAAAACAAACCTGGGCTTATCACATGAGACACCTCAGCCACACGTTCGTAAAACCTTATGTGTGTTTGCATCATAGACAACAATGTGTAGTCTGTGGCGTATGCACATGTGCATAAAATAGTTAAATAACTTTAATAGATTAACTTTCTCAACTAGATTTTTTGTCTTTGTTTTTAGATGTCTTTTAAATATTTTTCTGTCACAAAAAAGTAGAAAAACTATATATATATATATAATTTCATTTTCTGGGTTTTTCTTTATATTCTAAATTTGAAAATTGACAAAATAATCTTCACTTTTACATACAGTGTTTGAACCGAGCGAAATAAAAAGCAATATTTTATTGATAATTATGAATCTCGCTAAATCTCGTGCCCAGTTTACGCCCGATGGCGCTTCCTGGATGAAAGCTTCTGCTACGGCAAAACTGCTAACATGGCTGGCCAGGAAGACCCCGTTCAGAGGGAGATCCACCAAGACTGGGCGAATCGAGAGTACATAGAGGTCATAACAAGCAGCATCAAGAAAATCGCAGACTTTCTCAACTCGTTCGGTGAGCTTTTAGGAAAAGCTACAAAGGATTCGACCGCTGTGTTGTAGAAATATTTGAGCTGGAAGGTCGCGCTAGCTAGAGAAGCTAGCTGTCGGGCTGCTGCTAACACTGATGTTGATGTTTTTAAATGGCCACTCCCAGCTAGCTCGAACATTAGCACCGAGCTAATCGCTTTGTTTTAAAGGGTAATTATGTTTCAAAGGAGAATTGCGTTTGCTTAGTTTATTATATTTATTAATTCAAGTGTCGAAGCTCTGCCACATCTTTAGAAACACAATAGCTACCAGTGAAGATCATCTTTGTTCAATCAGTGCTCCCTACAGTTGTATTGATATACCAAACTAACATTCAAAATACATTTTAACCCAAACAGATATGTCTTGTCGGTCCCGCCTGGCCACTCTAAACGAGAAGTTGACAGCACTGGAAAGAAGGATCGAATATATAGAAGCAAGAGTAAGTAGAAGAATCACAGTTAGATGTATTGTTTTGAGTGATTTAACCAAGCAATTCTATCTCTTTTTCAGGTGACGAAAGGAGAAACCTTGACCTAGACTTCCATCATGAGGATCCTTAATATCTAACTACTTCTCCACCCTTTACCCTGAATTATTTTGGACTAAATGTGCTGGACTCCACTGTCCTGTTTTGGGGATTATGTGGACCATTTTTATATTATGTGACTGAGTTTTGTGTTTTTATCTCATGGCACATTTGTAAAATATATATAAAAACATGAAACAGATTCTGTATTAGTGGCACAAACACCATCATTAGATTTAAAATTGATCTCCATAAGTATTCAAAAGATATTCTGGGACTAAGTTGTGAATCTATTGTCAGCAGTATATATACAGTATGCCATTACTAAATCAGAGACATAAAGAGGGAACATTCATGTGTGCCAAGTTTAACATTGTGTAGTCTCCTTTATTTGCCTGTTTGGTGAGGTTTCAGACTTTAAATACTGAAATAAAAGCTATACGATGATAATACTTGATTTTCATCTTATTTTAAGTACTCCATTTGGTGTTTAAATTTAATTCAATGGCTAAGTGTGAACAAAAGCTACTAAAACATCTGTCAAGTAAACAAACATCAAAGATAGTTTGTTGCATAGATAAGTTAGATGCATTGGTTATGTGTATCGAAAAAGTCCACTTACATTAATGTGAACCAATATTAAGAAAAATAATTGAATATATTTATCCATTTTCATCCGGAGTCGGGTCGCGGGGGCAGTAGCCTAAGGCGAGAGGCCCAGACTTCCCTCTCCCCCAGCCAATTCGGCCAGCTCCTCCGGGGGAATTCCCAAGGCATTTCCTGGCCAGGTGAGACATAGTCCCTCCAACGTGTTCTAGGTCTACCTTTAGGTCTCCTACCGGTTGGACGTGCCCGGAAAACCTCAGCAGGGAGGCATCTTGACCAGATGCCCGAGCCACCTCAACTGGCTCCTCTCGATGTGGAGGAGCAGCGGGTATACTCAGAGCCCCTCCCGGATGACCGAGCTTCTCACCCTATCTCTAAGGGAGAGCCCAGCCACTTTGCGGAGAAAACTCATTTCGACCGCTTGTATCCGCGATCTTGTTCTTTCCGTCACTACCCAAAACTCATGACCATAGGTGAGGGTAGGAACGTAGATCGTCTGGTAAATTGAGAGCTTTGCCTTCTGACAGCTCTCTCTTCACCATGACAGACCGGTACAACACTCGCATCACTGCAGATGCAGCACCAATCCGCCTATCGATCTCACACTCCAGTTTTCCCTCACTCGTGAACAAGACCATACACTTAAACTCCTCCATTTGGGGCAGGTCTCTCTCTCTCTCTCTCTCTCTCTCTCTCTCTCTCTCTCTCTCTCTCTCTCTCTCTCTCTCTCTCTCTCTCTCTCTCTCTCTCTCTCTCTCTCTCTCTCTCTCTCTCTCTCTCTCTCTCTCTCTCTCTCTCTCTCTCTCTCGACAGCTGTACATTTATGTGCGTTTAAGAGTAAATAAAGTAGTATTTATAGTATCTCATCGAAGTATGCTGTCTACCCTGTGTAAACTGACTGGGAACTATTTATTTGGTTAACCATAAACTATCGTGAAAACGTCGAGAGGTTAAAGACAAGTATCACCCAAAATTGCAAAATGGCGGATTTTGATAACTGGGTAAATTTTGCCCTGAAATTTACCGTTCAGGCATACTTCTGAAATTTCTTATCCAAGTTTAGATTAACATAAGGATAATTAATTAATGATATGCATAAAAACGTACTAAAATATTAATTTTACTCATGGCATAAATCATATCGAAGTCAACATCGAATTTGTTATTGTTGGAAACAAACCTACTGGAATTCAGGACTGCCTGTAAGGCAAACTCAGGGAATATTTTAACCCAATGAATGCCCTCCCTGTTCTGCCCCCGATGCATTGTGGGATAAAGAAGGTTCTGGCGTCGAGCTGAGAACGTTTCTCCAAAGTCAGATGTAATTTCATACCACAATTTACTGAATGGTTCAATAAAGAAACTTTTTTTTGCATTTTCCGGCGACAGAAGAACATAATTTGGTAAGTTTTTGTTTAATTACACTTGAAGCGAACTGCAGGTTGTCCATGGACTCATCGGCGTTATTTGCATAACGCAGAAGCGGTGTCCATTTTACGTTTAACAGTCATTATTGTGTGTGTTTTTTAACCACGTCTGGCTTTAAGATGTGACGTTGATCTTGAGCAGTGAACGAAATGGCCGAAAGTTGAAATAAAAATGTTGTTTTCTTGTCTTTGTGTTTCAGGCAGCTGTTGCGGGAGTATACTCATGTCTTCGGAGAAAATGGGAGCTGATAAAAGGTACGTTCATCTGTGACGGAAGTCGGAGCAGATGCGTGGTATCCCGGCCGTCTCTTCCTTAACCATTGTATGTACCGATTGCGATAAAGACTCAACGATTACACCACATCATCAGAAATCCCAATCCATGTCTCCTGATAGTGGGTTGGTCGCATCTGAGAAGCACAAACAATTAAAACTATTCAAACTAATAAAATGTGTTTTCTTTATCTGAACCCGACGATCACACCTTAGTTTCGTTACACTCGTTCAACATGTTTCATTTTGTATAATTACGCAGCATACATTAGGGATGTGGAAAAGTATCTATGCACTCAAATATCGCGATGTTTCGTGTTTTGAAACTGAGTCAAGTAGTATCGGTTTTGTAAATCTGGATTTTCTCGGAAACATTTACTTTATTTTTTGTGGTGCAGTTCTATTTCCGACCACTAGTTGGCAGCAATTTTTATCTCCTTCAGTCTGACGGCTAGCCATCTTATATAAATGAATATATAGGCCCAAACACAATACTCCACTTCCACCCTTGCACCCTTCAATTGCGTGATCCCGATATGGGACTCCATAACCCAAAAGATAAATGGCTGTGTATTGAGTGATAAGTAATTTTCTGATGGATACATGCCATTAATTTAACATGATGTGTGTGAATTTTAAAGGCACGTTTTGATGCCAACAGAGCAATGTGATGGACAAGCCGTCGTCCCCCCCCCCCCCCCAAAAAAAAGTGGAAACACCGCTATTCATTTAATTTTACACCTCTTTGAACAGGATTAGTCGGACCGAGCGCAGTGGTCGGTATGGTTCTGAGCAGTCCCGTGATGAATCAGACTGGCGAGACAGACGAGAGAGGGACCAAGATCGTGATCGCCGCTGGAGTGATGAGAGACGTGACCGTTACGATGGTGATCGCAGAGGGTCTCGAGACAGTCCAGAGGTACCCTCTCTAATATCTTTAGGCTTTTGTTTGTATTTTGTTTGTGATAATGTTTTTGTTTTGCAGCATAGAGAAAGAAAAAGGCGAAACAGTGACCGGTCAGAGGATGGTTATCCATCAGACGGTGACTACTCTGAGCAAGATTACAGACGGGAACCAGGGGACGACAAGAAGAGTAAGACCATCATGCTTGGGGGTCTGTCTCCTCACACTACTGAGGAAGATGTAAGTGTTTCATGTCTGGTCACCCAAAGAAAAGTTCTATAAAACTGTAAATTGTAATTTCAACATTGTGTTTAGATCCGTTTTGCCATAGACCAGTTGGAGGGACCTCAGCCAGTGGACGTCAGACTGATGAAAAAGAGGACAGGTGAGAACCGGGTGTAAGCCAGATCCGAAACCTCCCACCCCCCCCAGAGTCTTTGACCATAGGGCAAATCTGCTTCCATTCAGACCCATTTTCCCATAGCAGCCAGGGCAAATCAGTTAAAGGGATTAAAAAAATAAATGGAATAAAAACGTTTTAATGCAAGACTTGTCATTTCAGTACGTTGTGGAACTCTTGAAGGTAAGTGAGAACAGCAGTAATAGTTTTAGGACAGACTGAAGCACTTGTCTATCAGTGTGGTATTCATGAGGATTTCTTGCTATGGTAAAACTCTTAAAGGCGTGGCCTATTGTTTACCAAACTTGGCCTGGGTCGTGAAGCAGTTTGTGGAAGAGTTTGAATAATATGCCCTTGGACTCTTAACTAACACACCCTCCCGTCTATATTTGAATGCTGTCTCTAGGTATAAGCCGTGGTTTCGCCTTCGTGGACTTTTATCACTTGCAAGATGCTACCAGATGGATGGAGACCAATCAGGTTGCTTCACAATCGCCAAGTCTAGTTTTAATCTTGGGGATCTGGAGAAATTACCCTAAAGGCAACCAGAATGTGTTCAACATGTAGTGTGGAAAAACTATAGAAAAGAAAAACAGTTGATAGAATGAATACCACACAGAAAATTCATGTTTGTGTATTAATTTCTGTGATTTGAAACGTATTTAACAAACTGAGTTTAGCTAATTATTTAGCAATTAATATAAAAAGTGCAGATTTGATTCATTCTTGGTCAATATTTATTATAAGAAAATATTTACTTCATTAGAGATGACAGATTTAAGTTCCAATTCTTTTTTTAGGCCAACTCTTCTAGGGATGGGGATATTTTTTTTTTTTTGTGTCTTTTTTGTTGTTATGGGAAGTCCATAGAAGTTGATTTCAAAGCAGTATGAAAATGTCTTGCTAGGATCACACTGTATACACACTGCCCCAGCCTAGTCTGGGCACTCGGGTCCCAAACACCTTAAATCCTCTTTACATCCAGCTCACTTATGCCTGTCTTTAACTCAGAGGCTGTCTGTTGGGGGTCCCTCTCCCCGTTCTCTCCCTTCCAACACTGCTTGCTCCAAATGATTAGATCATTTCTCACCATGAACTTTTGAGTGATTTGGCTTTCCTCTTTCAGAAACTCCTCATCATCCAAGGCAAGGTCGTCGACATGCACTTCAGTAACCCTAGAAACAAGTATGAAGACTGGCTCTGCAACACTGTAAGTATTTTGTTTTCCTAATCCCAAGCACACATGTGAGAACTTCCTGTTTGTTAGGTTTGCTTCATGCTTTGTTGGAGATGGACGTGCGTAAGGATGATGGGTTGCTATGGTGCGCTGCACCAAAATAGATTCCCCTTTTCCCTCTGCAGCAGCACTTTTCCAGCCTGCAGTTGATGTGTAATAAAAATGATGTGAACGGTTACTTGCAGTGTGGCCTGTACAATTTCCGGAGGAGGCTGAAGTGCTTCAGATGTGGAGCAGCCAAGTCTGGTAAGTAGCTGAATCAGCGAGAGGCCAACCACTGCAAACATCTGGACTAGCTGGCCCTAAAGTGCTGGGATGTAGAGACCAAAGACTTCTATCGTGTCCCCCCTCCTAACTATTGACATGATGAAAGCTAGTTTATATTTCACATGTTGGCTCGTTTTTTCTTTTAGACTTTATCTAAACTTATTTCACAACACCTTTCATCATGGCTTTATTGATAATCTTACTACTTTGTAATTCTCTCAACAGATGGTGAAGCTAGCAATAATGCTGGAGCCTCTGAATCTCAACCCAGTGGAGATTTCTATGGCGACAGTAAGAACTAATCAGATGTCTAACAGAGTGGGACGAGAATATCTCCATCCATGAGGCAAAAACCTAACGGCGTCTCTTGTCTCATAGCAATCATCCTAAGAAATATCACCCCTCTGACCACGGTGGAAGCCATATTGTCCGCTCTGGCGCCATACGCTAATCTGTCATCCAACAACATTCGCCTCATTAAGGACAAGCAAACGGGCCAGAATCGAGGTTTTGCTTTTGTTCAGCTGTCCTCTCCTCTGGTAAAGCATCCTCATCCATATACAGATGGAAACAAAAGTAAAGAAATAAGTTTAAATGTGTAATGTGCCACTTTTTCACAGGAGGCTTCTCAGCTGCTAACCATCTTACTAGGACTGCAGCCTTCATTGAAGTTGGATGGGAAAACCATCGGGGTGGATTATGCAAAGAGTGCCAGAAAGTGGGTGCATTTAGTGATACAGGAAAAATTCAAATCTGCAAGTTTGAGTGATTTATTAAGATTTAACAGCAGAGGATTGGTGGCCTTAAAAACTTATCCTCACCTTGCATTAGGAATCTCTTGCTGCCTGATGGGAATCGTGTCAGTGCCTTTTCTGTGGCCAGCACGGCCATCGCAGCAGCCCAGTGGTCATCAGCACAGGTAGACTCCTTTTCTCTAACCTGCTTGTTCTAATGTCCGAGTCGCTGTTCGATACTCATGATCCACCTCACAGCCTTCGCAGAGCTCCGATGGAATGTCCGAGTACGCCTACCTTCAAGAAGGATACGCTCCGCTACCACAGGTCTGTGTGACAAACTGCTTCTAAATCTGTTCAAATCTTTTTTTAATGAAAACAGGATTTCTAGTGAGTCTTGGGTGTTCTACGTTAACTTTTGTAACAAACGTTTTACAGGAATACCAGACCTATCAGCAAGGAGCTGCTGGCGCCAGTACCTCTCAGGGAAATGGACTCCTGGGAGGTAAAAGATTCTTTCATCACTCTGAGATTGATTCACATGGATGTTTTTGTCTTTATTGGGTTCTTGGGCAGTTATGTTGCATTTTTCTTTTTACTAACAAGCACAAAGAGCAGGATTTGATTATATTTGCATGATGAGCTCATAGAAACTCTTCTGTTCCCAACTGTAGCTGCTCCGGGTGTTAAGATTCTTCCAGCTGCAGTTGGAGTTGTTCTCTCACAGAGTGCCCAGGTCTACCAGCCGCATATCATCGCCCAGCCTACTGTAAAGGTAACCAATGCTTCTTGTTAGTTCTGTACTAAACTATTAGATGTTTAATTCCTTCAGTAACTATATTGCTTATTATAGGCTCTGCCGCTTGCCCAACCACTGGAGGTTAAAGCCCAAACTGGACTGGTACCAGCAGTGATGTCTGTGCCAGTTGTAGCTGTAGCTGCTCCTCCGATCGGTGCTTCCAGCACAGCGCCCCCCGCTGGACAGGCTGTAGACATCAGTACAGGTACATGGAGAAATGACGTGCTTGTTTATAACGTGTGTAATATGTTTTGTGTTTTTAAAAGATTTATTTTTATATTTCCCAGCAGCTCCTAACATATCCAATTACCAATACGACGAGTCTTCTGGCTACTATTATGACCCTCATTCTGGCCTCTACTATGATCCCAATTCACATGTAAGGAACATGCAGCTACTCTGTTTTGTCATGCGTGTAAGACCTGATGTTGTTTTTAATGCTTTGGGTTTTTTGTAGTATTATTACAATGGGCAGACCCAGCAGTATCTTTACTGGGATGTGGAGAAGCAGTCATACCTACCAGCCCCCACAGGAGAAAACGACAAATCAAACGGATCTGCAGCCGGAAGCAAGGAGCCCAAAGAGAAAAAAGAGAAACCCAAAAGCAAGACCGCACAGCAGGTGGCGACAGGACCATCACATTAGCTTATAGAGCTGTTGCTTTAAATGTTTAGTTCTCATTTTGTTGAATTTGAATCTTTCAGATCGCTAAAGACATGGAGCGATGGGCTAAAAGTCTCAACAAGCAGAAGGAGAACTTCAAGAGTAGCTTTCAGCCCATCAGTCAGGAGGAGAGGAAAGAGGCAGCAGCAGCTGATGCTGGATTCACGCTGTTTGAGAAGAAGGTATCTAATAATATAAACATGCTAGATGTGTGAAACTTTTTTTACTCCTAAAGAGTTAACCCTTTTGTGTTTTTACAGCCGTGTGGTTTAGATCGACTCACGCAGGAAGTGTCGAGGAGCGCGGAAGAAGAGGCACCGATGAGCTCGGCTGCTGCTTCAAAGGTGAGTCTTTCTGTTTTGTTTTGTTTTTTTTCTCTTTTCAGGGACAAATAATTTAAACAGGACTAAATAAGGACTCATGCTGTGTTGTGGACAGTGTGGCCTTGTGGCAGCGTACAGTGGAGACAGTGATCCAGAGGAAGGAGGAGCAGAACTTGATGGCGGTGATGGAGTCCAAGACAAGTTGACGGACTGGAAGAAGTTGGCTTGTCTTCTCTGTAGGAGACAGTTTCCTAATAAAGAGGGGCTGGTTCGACATCAGCAGCTCTCCGACCTCCACAAGGTATGGTCTCCTTTATGTCCTCAGAGTTTGAGCCAGAAATCTCATTCGTTCACGTTCTCATTCTGGGTTCGGTCTCTTCTAGAAAAACCTGGAGGTTCTTCATAGATCCAAAATGAGTGAAGCAGAGCTGGAAGAGCTGGAAAGAAAAGAGTCTGAGGTTCTGTCTAACATCGGATCCTTTCGATTCTTTTTGTTTTTCATAATTTCCTTATTAAAGATGTTTTTTCTTCCATAAACAGCTGAAATACAGAGACAGAGCAGCTGAAAGGAGAGAAAAATATGGCATCCCAGAGCCTCCAGTACCTAAAAAGAAGAAATTTAGCCAGCCAGCAGCTGCAGCTGTGTAAGCATCACTGGTCATTGTTGGTCACTAATCTGATTTCATGTTCTGTGAAAAAAATGTTGACATAAATATTTTTGTTTGCAGTAACTACGAGCAGCCCACGAAAGACGGCCTTAACAGTGATAATATTGGGAACAAAATGCTCCAGGCCATGGGTTGGAAGGAGGGCAAAGGTCTCGGTCGCAACCAGCAGGGCATCACTACTCCTATTGAGGTATTTACAGCTGCATTAGCTGGGTCATCAGCATTATTAACCAGAATAAACTCTAAATGGGTCTAATATCTGTGTGTTTCCTGTTCAGGCACAGCTAAGAACTAAAGGAGCTGGGCTCGGCACTAAAGGCACCAACTACACCCTCTCTCCTTCAGACACCTATAAAGATGCGGTTCGTAAAGCCATGTTTGCTCGCTTCACGGAGCTGGAATAGTGAGATGGGATGGTGTTGATGTGGTGATCTGTATTACATCCGCTTCCTGAGGCACAAAAGTCTTCATAAATAACCCGTGAGGAGTTTACCTCCAACCAGACTAAACATCTGTCAGTTTACTGACATCAAGGAAATAATTTATAAGATGTACATGAGCATAATTAGTTCTTTCCTGGTTTACATAGTTGTCTTTTTTTTTTTTGTAAATCTGATCTATTATATATTTTTTTTGTGTTGACATGTTCAGTTTGTACAGTTTATACAAAATGTTGTCAAATTGTAAATAAAATAAATGGTGAGACATGATTCTTTTCTTTTTTTTATTTGTTCTTAACATACATCTTAACTTGTAAAACTAACAGCTGAAATAACAAAAACCACATGAAGTTGGAAGCTAAAACAAGATTTTAACAGCTTATGGCTAAGCTGTGACGTGTGCATTGTTCTCAAAGAGCTTCCCTCACATTCAGACCTACAGAGAGTCTACTAACCAGCTGCATAAGGGTCTGGTGTAGGAGATGCAATGCCTCAGACTGGATGTCCCTGCAGGATCATGAGAACAATGGAGAAAATCACTGGGACCCCTCCATTCAAGATTGGCCACTTGAGCCTGACCAGAGTACAGCACGGCACCTCAGACGTCCCCCATCCCCACCATGCAAGCTTCTGCAGGACGTCCAGATTCAGAGACTGCTTCTTTCCCCTGACTGTTGAAAACCCTCAGGCTATAAATACAAACTCACCAGCCCATGCTTGGGAAAACACCCCCACCCTCCAAAAAATATCCTCATGTTTTCCCTCCACATCTTATAAGAACCTTGGAGACCATAATATGCTGCAATGGTGATGTCCCTCAGTGCAGTAGCTGATTACACAGTCACTTATTTTTGACTCAAGGCAAGAATTCTTTACTTGGACTTTTAGTCCAATTCAGAGAGGTAGAAAAACATTGCAAGATAAAAGGAAAGGAGAACAATATGACATGCTAGAGACAAAATAATTACGAGAACAAGAGATAACAGTAGTGTGGAAAAACTATAAATTATAGTAACTCCCTGTCTAAAAACAAAGACTGTTATAGCAGTGTTTCCACATCTTTGACTGGTAACGTATTGCACTGACAGGTATTTATTGGTTAGATTTAAAACAATCGCATTTTTAGAATTGTTCAGCCTACAAATAAATTTATAAATACAATTTCTTAAGACGACTTGTAGGGCGCTCACCCTCGCATTTGTAAGTCTCACTTGCACTTGTCCATCTAGGCTTCCTGATGTGACAGGGTGAGCAACCTGTCACTGTATCCTGATTGATCATGCACCCTGGCTACTTGGCCACGGGGATATGTCTTTGGTTGGCTGGTTAGCATGCGTGACTCTCACCCGGGAGTCTGGGGATCGAATCCCGCCCGGGCCCTCACCTTTCTCCACCCTGCAACACTTACAATCAAATGCAGAGCATCATTATAGGCAACCTGCAGCATAGCATGCTATCAATGGTTCTTATCATTAGTCCATAGGTGGGCCATGTACAGCAGGTTATGTTTACTTTATCAGAGCAAGATCCAAACACTCAAGCGAGTGTATTACACTGAGCATATAACACACAGCATTGCCTATACATGTCATCATCATCTGTCATGTGCTCAGTGGTGATATGACCAAGATATTTGACTTTCTTGGTGACACTAATCACAGGGTCTGACATATACAATTCTAGAAACTTCATTTGCTTGTCCTCCTTGGCCTGGTAAATCACTACCACACTTTTAGCTGCATTATACACAATGTTGTGTTCTACTCCGTAGTCAGAGCTGCTGCAGACCAGCGGTGCTCGGACTTAGAACCACCAAGTCATCTGCATACATCAGATGATTTATGACAACACCACCAGCACAACCAGTCCTGCAGGCCTTTAACCTCACTGATAAGTCATCCATATACAGGTTAAAAAGAAGAGGAGATAGAATCTCCTATCTCTGAGGTACTGTTACCCCATTTTAGCTGTAACATTTGTGACCAATAAACCAGGATGTATACAATGTATCTTGGAACCTCTCTTTGCAGCAGCTTTATGAGCAGTTTCCAATGGCTAACTCTATCAAATGCCTTGGATGCATCTGAAGCACATAGAGAGAGAAGAGTTCATGTCTGTACCAAGCTCTGACTTAAAGCCAAACTGATTATCTGTGATTTTTAAGATGTCATTAATTCTGTCCAGCAGAATTCTTTCCAAGACTTTAGAGAGTATGCTAGCCAGAGCAACGGGCCAATAGTTATCCATGCTACCAACTCTCCCACCCTTATCTTTCATCACTGGGACCAATAGAACAGCTAGCATTGAATCAGTCAAACATCCAAGCAAGAAAAGATGAAAGGCATGTAGCAAGGAGTGGTGCTAATCTACTGCTAGCATGCTTTAGGTGTTAAGCAGGTATGCCATCCAGCCCAGCGGCTTTGTCATTAGGTAGTTTAGTACAGTCTTCCCCAACCCTGGTCCTCAGGGCACACTGACCTGCATGTTTTCCATGTCTCTGCACCTGATTTACATCGGCTCCTCAGGAAGACATCAAGTGCTGCAGATTGCAGTTAATCACTCATTCATGCAGAGACACACCAGTGTTTGAAAGGGCAACATGGAAAACATGCAGGACAGTGTGCCTTGATGACCAGGGTTTGGAAACACTGGTTTAGTAATAGCTTGATGGACCTCATGTGACATGATTTCAGCTATACTTTCACTTTGGTAAAAACTACAGATTATCTCTTTAATTCCAGTAAATGTTTAACAAATCATTAGGTGATTCAAAAGCCATTATATGTACAGTTAACTGTCTGAAAAAGGCTTTTTAAATCTGATTTTGTGTATTTTAGCTTTTCAGCCAGTCACCTGTAAAATTCATACAAATAACGTTTTCCCTGCCCCCCGTGTGCCGTCCTTATGAAGTGAAACATCATCCTCTGTAAGTTTTTGATTTCATGAACCTCGTGTTGCTTCCATTTTCTTATATTTTCACTTCTTGGGGAGAAACGTGCACACCGGCCTCGGAACATCAATAGAACTTAGCAGCACAGAGTATGTGTAGATTTTGTTCGAACATCTTGGTATTTGAGCACCGTGTGGATGTCTCCACATACTGCGTAACGCAACCCCTAAAATCCAGCAGAGAGAATAAATATTAGAACATATGGTGTCCAAAAGCAACAGCCAGCTGCTGTCTTTGAATGCAGTTTGGCTTCTTAGGTTTCGGGCTCAAATCACAAAACCAACTGTTTTGCCTAAAATCATCAGGTGGCCACGTTTAAACATCCACAGGATGGAGTTTTCACATTTTGATCAGTTGAAATCGCAGGTAGATTAGTGGCGTTTGCTGCAGAGTTCGTGTTAATTGCGTCGTTAAGCATGGAAAAAATGATTAAATGTGTCGTGAACAGCAAACTGTGTTTAACTGTGCACCAACTGTAAGTGAAGCTTATGTATATAGCAGCTAACAGAAGAAAATCACACCAAAGCTAAAAAACATATTTAAAAGATGAGAAACAAAAGATCACAAAAGAATAAAGATCATAGAACAAATAAAGAAAGACAATTTTTAAAAGACCATAAAACAAATGAATCAAAAGAAATAAAAGGGTCAAACGCACATCTGTTTCGGTACTTTGAGACTGAAAAAAATAAATATAATTTCCTCCATTAATATTAGTTTGTCCAGACCAACCAGTTGACTTGAGGTCATTTATCATTTACTTTTAGAACAACAAGCCAAGGCTTTTTTTTTTCTTTTTTTTTAGCTTTGGTGAATATTTTTAATCAAGAATTGTCCCAATTTTAAACCATTTTAGATAATTGAAAATGATGGGTTTTTTTTTTTTTAGTTATTTGTCTGATCTTTTAAATTGATATCGTACTTTCTAAAAATATCTTATTGTTTCAGTGATTCTGGCCGGGTGCACGTTTGCAGTGTCTCACGTGTTTTACAATGTGTTCATTAGCTCATTGTGGCCTCTAGAGGTCGCTAATCAAGCTGCTAATCCCATCATTTAGAAAAAAGATTTGGCTTTTTGGTTTATTGGCTTTTTGGTGAATTTATTCTTGAGCCAACGTGGATGAGAAACTTCCTCTGCGTTTGTTTTTTAACTATTGCCCATTTCAAAACTTTATTTCAGACAAGGGATATGTCCATAACAAGAATAAAATAAAAATAAAAATAAAATACAAACACATGCTAATTACAAACCGTATAGGCAGTTGTTCCAATGTTTAAAAAGGACTGAGGAGTACCTCGTGTCACTGTAAGTTACAGATGACAGCGCTCTAACAACTTTTCTCAACTTCATCCCGTTGATGCTGCAGGCTTTCGAGTCAGGGCAACGTTTTGATTATCTGATAAATCTGATTATGTTACTGGATTAAACCGAAAGATTGTCCAAAATCTGGATATGTTTCAAATGCAACGTTTGATGAACTAGAATTCACATTAAAATCCTCAACGCACCCACCCAAATAAAACACGACTTAACGTTTCTGCTCTTTTTATGTAAAAGTCACGTTCTCACCTCAGGAGTTGTCCACTCAGAGGGAAAACGGATCTCCCCATTATTCTACAGGAAGCTGACATAAAGGGCTGTTGTCACTTTTAGAAGTGACTTTTCAGTTTGAGCTGGATTACGCAAAGCGCGACGCAATCCCTTATCCTTTTATGCACCAAACATTTTCCGAAGAAGCCAGAACAAGTGTAACCTGACCTCTCAGAGCGCGCGCGCAGCAGCCAAGGAGAGGAGTGGGGGAGTGGGAGTGTGTGGGGGTTGAGGTTACTTAGGAGGCGGACCTAACGCGACCCCCACAGCTTGGATGAAATTTTTTTTTTACGATGCTGACCATTTCCCAAAACGCACTTTAGCCGTCGCGTTTGGGGAGAGTCTGTGCGTAAAAAGCCGCGCGCCAGCGTGTAGAAATCATAGATCAGAATAGAGATTAAAGAGGAGAGCAGCGCTCATCTCCACATCAAACCCTGGTTCAGACTCGGATTTAGACTGAAACCTTTGTAAGAAGATTCTTTGGTAAGGCTCAACTAATCTGTTTTTATTTGATCTTAGAGGGAAATTGATCCAATTGATGCATAATTATAGCTTTTTTATTATAATAAATGATTTATATTATTTAAAGTCCCACATGTGGAGTTCTAACACCTGGTTGGCAGTAAGCAGGATAAAAACCGGCAGAATTTGAGAGTTTGTGTTTCAGGATCTTTTAGTGAGAAGATAGCTGTTTTTAGCAATCAGGGCTGATCCATGCAGAAAGGATGTTTCGGTCTGCGCCCCAAGTCCAGATGTCAACCACCACGACCATGTGCTGCTCGGAGTCTCGGTGACAGACTGTTTGGAGCCCCATCTATTGTTCGTGCGACTCGTGCTGCGTGTAAAACTCATGCTTTAACACAAGGAAACCCAAATCGCGCGTCGCACGCGCAGATTTCTGCTGTGCGGCATGAGGTGTCTTCTTCAGTTTGAGTTTTTCCATCTCTCTCTCAGCTCAGAATAAAACAGTTTGTTGGTGATCCTCAACACCTCATTACGAGTCATCCGCGTCTAGTTAGCACCTATTAAGATGTTTACGAGTGAAACCAAAACCTGTAAATTCTGATAAAAAGTCAACGTTGGTTTATTTTTGCACTCGTGGGAAACAGAAACACGTTTATTAAGCTGAAGAAGCAGTTAAATATATTTTATTGTTGGTTAAACATGTGGAGGGAGTGCGTCACGCGAGGAAAGAGAATGCCGCACATTTTCACTTTTCTCACATCATTTTGTGGCTTTGGGTGACAAGAACGACGTTTTCATTAAGCTCGGCTGCGATGATAACCCGAAGGACATTTTTCTTTACTATAAATACGTTTTAGATGTTGTCATTTAAATACAGGGATGTGAAACTGATTTCCTGTCAGTTATGGGGTAAAACAAAAAGTTATAATTAAATATTTAAACTAAAACTGATGTAGATTAGTTTTCTAAGCATTGTGAATATGTGTACATCTTTTTAACATTTTAAACGATTGTTTACACAAAGTACAGTAAATGATCTCTGGGCATTGAAGGATATTAACAGACATTTGGATGAAAAAATCAATAAAAGGAAACAAACAAAAAAGTCAATGTAATGACTGCCTGAAGCCACCTTAACGTGACTGGCCTGAAGTTGTTTTTCTTCTGGATAACAGAGCAACAGAGTCTGAAAAAACAGGAAAATCACCCCGATTTAACCAAACAAAGGCTGTTTTATCCTGTGTGTTGTAGCGGATACGTTTGTTTGAGTCTTTTCTAGTGATTTTTAACACATCTGATTCAATCATTGTTTCAGTGGCACTTGATATCATTGAGTGATTTAATGATGTGGTTCACAGAAAAACAGTGTTTAATGATTATTTCTGATTAAAATGTGTTTTTCTTGCAGCCTGAACATGAAAATAGACTCCTACACCTAGCTCCTGCATTAGATTCTGATAGAAAACAGACAGGAAAACTCTAGGATTTGAAAAGTCTGACAGATCTACGTCACACTGTCACTTAACGTTCATGGATTCACCCATCTTGGCTCACGGGGAAGACTGCTGTTGGTTTAGCATCCAGGAGACAGCAGAGATCGTCTCAACTAGAGGAAGCTAGCATTAGCAACTCTGCCACACACCAGAACTCCTCTGGGCTTGTGTTATTTATTTATTTAACCTTTATTTAACCAGATGGATCAATTGAGCAAACATGCTCATTTACAATGACGATCTGACCAAGAGGCAGCAGCTACTTTCCTCTCCAGCTGAATTCTCTGAGCGGATACAGGTGCTAATGGTGCTAATGCCCCCAGTAGATACAATACATCCCTGTCTAGTAGAGACCACTGCAAATGTATTGATTAAACAAGTGATCCACATCTTTAATGGCTTTTGATTCTTTATTTAACAGTTTCTGCACTTCAATGATCCACAGCAATAAAGTGATCAGACTAAACCTTTTAAGATTTGTATTCAATTTCAGAAATATGTCTTTAGCATGGGCAGCTATATCTTTGTAAGGAACAACTGTTGACCCAGCAGGAAATGAAGTACTCATCTCATGCTTGCTCTTAAGTGAGCGCTGAATGGATGTTACAGAAAACTGAATGAGGAGAAGATGACTTTTGAAACAGTTTTCCAGCTTCTGGGATGCAGGAAGCATGCCTGAAAAACTGACACTGGTTTCCTTTTCCCACAACCTTATATGGGCTTCCATGCTCGGTTCATCTGAGTGGAGAAAATGGAACAGATAAGCTTTTGTGCGTTTGTTGACCTTGACATGTGCAGCGACTAAAGTAGCAGATCGTTTTAGAGAATCAGGACAGGTGCGTGGTGTGTGGAAATCAAGGTTCTGTCCACGCTGGACCCGGTCAGCTGTCCTTGTGTCTCTGGGAACAGATTTGTGTTAGCCTCAGTATCAGCCTCTCCACAGTTTATTATTACCTTATTATAGGGCTCATAATCTCAACGCTCTGTTTTCTATTTATAATGAAGTCATTAAAAATCCATGTTCCTCTGTGGACTTTGTATATGTTCAGTCAGGAAGTGCTTCATAATTTTATGAGACACTGTTCCGACTAAAGCTCTCAAGCTGCATCTGTCAGCTGTGCATGAGTCTCTTTAGATTATTTCCTCTTGCACCGTCTGAGCCAACTCTTTAATTTATGCAGCCATAATATGTAAATTATTGCTTCACATGATCAGATGGCAAATTCATGTTTGTTCTAAATACCACAAACAAGTAAAAGCAATAATAAAAGTTTTACTAAGCTGTAACCTGATGGTAGAAATCAAAAGGAAAATTGGCACGACTGTTGTCCACATGACCGGCATGAGAAATACATAGTTTCTCTTCATGAAATTTAGAAATTTCAAGTCTCCAACTACTAATTTTATGGCCACTTCTGCCTTTTCACCTTACAACAGGTGTATGAGGTTAACTGAGAGCTGTGTTGAAGCTAGCTGACTTTAGGGAACTGGACTCTGGTCACTGGTTGCCAGATTTGCTCAGAGTTTGGATGGATGGATTTGAGCCAGTTCAGACTAAGCATTTGGCATCCAAAGACCTGGATTTGAGCTCGGTGTGGACCCAGGTTAGTTTCAGCAGCTGAGCTTGGGCCAGCGTTCTCAGGACGGCATTTGTTCCTGGTTATTTTCTCCCTGACCTCAACGTTGGTCATTATTGAATCTGAACCATTTTGGCTATTAAATCTGAAGAGTGACAGATGATAAACACAAGTCCAAATTCAATGTAAAGGTTCCTCGTTTGCTGGTTGTAAACAAAAGGGGGAGATGAGATGTTTTTCTGTGGGTTTATCTTCTAAGACAGCTGTTGTTCTGGTCTACTAACTCGTGCCTTATCACAGGACTGTTTGGCATGTTTTCTGTTTATTTGATGCCTTTTTAGAGTTTTCTGAAGCAGTTCGTTTAGATATGAATTACTTTTTAATTTTGTGTCAGGAAAACACGTTCGCTGATGTTTTCTGCAGTGGGCATCAAAGGGCCCCAATATTCATAGAGGGGCTAAGTATTGGCCATTTTAAAGTCCTATTAGTCATTTGACCCACCCTTGTGGGGAGCGGTGAGCTGCAGCAGTGGCCGCGTTCAGGAATTATTTGGTGGCTTAACCCTCTAATCCAATTTAAAGCTGAGTGTCAAGCAAGGAGGAATTGAGTCCCATTTTTAGTCTTGGTATGACCCAACTGGAATTGAACCTCAATCTCCCAGAGACTCATACCACTCAGCCACCAAGCAGTGCCTTTAAAGTACTTTAGTAAAGTACTTTAATATAATTATATCTGTATTTTTACTGCACATATACAAAATATAAACACGCACAGTCATTAACAAATGGGTAATGTATCATTTAAAGTATGTTTTGTGGGTGAAATAAACCAGTGTTTCCCAAAGCTGGGATCAGGACCCCACTGTGGGTCTCCAAGAAATAAGCAGGGGGTCTTTAGATGGTTTCCAGAAATCAAAATAAAATTCAAAAACATTTACAGAAGTTATGTTTTTAGCATTAATGTTACAAATTTGTCACAAGTGGAGCAGAAGGGGTTTTCTTTATGCTATTTAAACTTTTTCAAGGATTTTGTATTGTCAAATCAGAGATGTCTGGGTTTGTGTGTCTGCACAGTTGCTATTATGTTCGTCTGAAGCTGAAAAGTTTGGGCACTACTGCGAAAAATATCCTAAATTCCTATTTGGTTCATTAACGCCACTAGTGTTTGGACTTGGAAATACATCCACATATAATGTGACCATCACGCAAAAGACTGATGAGTGACAAGCCTGGGGCACTTCAGATTTTAGAAGGGGCCAATGCCCCCATGGTCTCACCCCTAGAACCGGCAATGGATTTCTGACAGTTTAGATTTTTTACACTTGCACATGGATAAGTTTAGTGAATATAACAAGAAACTTTGAAATTCAGGTTATCGTATGCATTTTGTATTTATATAGTTAAATAGATTTTGCAATGGATCCTTTAAGGAATTAGCCAGCAGTCTGACATGATTGAATATGTTATCCTCTTCATTTAATTTAGATGGATTTCAATGATACAGAAACTTAATCTAAAGAAATGAGCTACCTCCATCTACATTGTTTTTACTGTAAACAGGTGCATACTTAAAAAGGCCATGAATAAATGTCACCCTGGAACATTTTAAACACACTTTGGTGCTGTAAAAAGGCAGCAGATGGTCATTTTGAAATGACCATATTTCAGAATCAAGGCTGCTCTAAAAGCGTATTGAAGTGCGTGACTGAAGGATCATTACTAAGGGACCCACTGCTGTTATCTACTGTGCTAACTCAGAATGACCTGCCACATTTCTGCAACCATTCAGGTTTAATTTGAGTTAATTGACTCTTTATGTAACTAACAAAGTTTTATAGAAAATAAGGACTTAATCAGGCACATTCTCTAAAAACATGAAGAAAAATTTACTTGTCCTTGTTTTATTGGTATTTTATATTAAAAAAACAAATTGAACTCTCAAGAATATG